AATCACTTTAAGGGGCGATACGTTTAAATAACGTGAAAAAGAAAGATCGCGGGGGAGGGACGACTCCTCGGCGGCTCTTTCCTCTCTCGCCAAGCGGACGGAATATACGCGGAATATCCCCCCCGTCTCGGGGGCGGCACTCGACAATTAAAAGGGCTGATGTACGGGACGTTTCGATCTAACGACGCAAACGAAAATAATCAAAGAACCACTTCGCGACTCGCGAGTGCAAGTGCAAACAAACTCCGTCGTAGAATTCTGGACACTTCTACCACGCGGCGCACATGTCCCGAATTCGCGAGTCTGAGGGATGCCACCCCACATGAGCGTCACATATGTCGAGGTCTCTCTTCGCTACGAGACCCTTCATGCCAACCCGCGATGTACCAGCGCGCCCTGTTCGCGGTGCCTCGTTCGGTATGGGGTGTGCACCTACCACGGATACTATTACGATGGGGCAAGTGCGGCTGGCTACGGCTACACGCCCGCCTATTTCGGATTTTGCAGAATCACCGTGCCGTGCCGTGTCGCGCGCGCGCACGCGTGCGAAAAAGTTTGCGCAGTGTCGCTGTTTTTTTTTGCGCTCCGCATGCAGACGATTCGCAATGAATTTGCCCTCACAGATCGCCCGGTTTTTCGGCTGACAGTCTTTGAACTAGAGCTTTTTTCCACGTGTCAAAGAGTGGATTATTTTAAACTAAAAATTTGTCTATACTGTAATTTCTCGGATTATAAAAGCTTTTTCCAAACAATTTTCGCACTCTTGAAATTATCTGAAAAATCACGAACTAGCACTACCTCCTTTCTAACAATCTGATAAGAATAAAAATTTTCATCACTCTCGCAAAAAAAAAAAAAAAAGCCGACCACTTTAAAGATTATATACTGGATTGACGAGTGATACAGAAAAATGTCATTAAATAATTCGATTAATAAAAATATTCCACCGCATTTTCGTTTCCTTTGTGTCACTTCTTTTAGGCTTCTCGTTGTTCGACCGTGTTCAATGGCAAAAAAATTGCAAATTTCTTATCATTGCGACACAGAGATACCTTTCCTCGCACCAATTCGAATTTCAACGTGTCGGAGAATATTTTATTACCGCCGCGCCGGTGCAGCGGGTCGTCGTTAGGTAGGTGACTAAATCGAGAATCCGGTTGACAGTTTCATCCGCGCGCACGCGACCCCCCTTAAGCCGACATATGCAGGGACGAGTTCTATGGACATCGGAACAAACAAGAAAACCAGGATCGAAATATTATCATAGCCGAATAATAGGCTTAGAAAACGGGCCGGCTAGTGGCGGGGTACTTGCCTACGCGAGAAGCGCAGCGACACCGAGTCGTGCCGACCCTCCCAATTAGTAATTGGATTTGGCCGGTGCGGTGATGTTCATTTGACATCATTGGGACATTTAAGTGCGCCGGCACCGCTCGCTGTTTATTGGATTGCCGGAATATCTAAAGAGAGCGTATTGTCGCCGAGTCTACCGAGTCTACCGAGACTCTCTGCTGTTTGTCGCTCGGTGCCTGTTTTTCTCTTCCGCTTCGATGCTGTCGATCCTAACGATACCGCTGATCCTTCAACTGCGGCCATATATTCTCGTAAAACACAGCGAGAGAATAGTTTCATTGTCTCGTTGAAGGAGAGCGGCCGCCAAGTCTCTCACGAATTCAATTCCGACGGACCGCTTTTTTTCCCCGCCAACTCCGATACGATCGTCTTTTTTATAAGGATACTGAGACATAACGGAGTGAAAAGTAGCAACTCCGTCTCGATATAGCATTCTCTCACTCCCTCACACACACACACACACACACACACACACGTACACACGCATACCTAGGCACGCGCACACACGCGCATTCTCGCAGTCGCGTCATTGCCATAAGGTGGTAATGTTACAGGCCGTTGGGCAGCTGAGAGGGATCTCATGAATCACGGCGCTGAAAGAGAGACGACGAGCTTGAGAAAAAAGGAGATTGAAACCGGTTTGGCACGCGCGCGCATGTCGAGTGTTTCGTAATGACGCCTGCAGACCCTCATTAAGCTTCATTATCTCGGCATATGATAAACATTAATCGGCGACCCTTGACACCTCGATGTGTACGATGTGTGTACGTTAAGTAGCCTCGGCGATTACTCACTGTTAAACCGGCTTTTGTAAGCAATGCGTGAACCAACGGGTGCGGACCGCCCGAGCATCTTGATCCCGCCCGGACGTTAGTTTCGCTCTTTTGACAGATACAAACTCGCGCGGTGGCGCGCGGCACCTTCGGCCGCCGCACTCGATTAAGTTTAATCGATACTACCGCGCAGCCACGGGCGGAATATTCAGAAATGTATTTGCAAATGCAAAACACAGTCGAAGAAGTAGATTCAAGGCGGTTCAAGTGGAAAGAAGGGAGGGAGAGAGCCAAATTACCCGGCACAGAACACATTATCTCCACTTGATAGGCCCCATACCCCTCGAGGCAGTGGCTCTCTCCCGCGTAAACGGGCCAAACACGGCTGCCCGGGAAGAATAGATTCTCTCCGCCGGTTTCGCGCTAGTGAGAGCACTGCGAAACACTGCCGGCCGCTATCTCTCTCTCTCTCTCTCCCTCTCTCTCTCTCTCTCTCTCTCTCTCTCTCTCCCTCTCTCTCTCTCTCTCTCTCTCTCTCTCTTCCTCTCTTCTTTTCTGCTCCTCCTCCTAACTCCTCGCGATTACCTCTCTCTACTCCCTCCGCCACATAAATTTATTCAAACAAATTCTATAATTACTTTTTCGACCCAACTGCCACTCGACCTAAGATTTATGCCCTCGATTACCCAAGTAACGCTCATCGTCTTTGTCACCCAGGTAGAATGTTATATTGCGACTTTATGATAACAAGGTTCAAAAATTGGGAAAATGTTCCAGAAGCTCGTGGATTAAAGAACCGAGAGAAAGACACTTGGAGATCGATACGAGTTGTACGCACAAGCAGAACTGGTGGTTCATCTAGGAATATTCCTATATTTGTCTGAAACCTTTTCAACCCCTAACGTGATACACCAGCTGTTGGAGGTCATCTCGTAAAATTTTAACAAAATCTCGAAAATACAGAGAGAGATAACACCAATTATTATTAAAATATATATTAAAAAAAAAAAAAAAAGAAAAAAATACTTTAACATACGGAAATTTGTACGGTCGGTCTTTGATATGATGGACCTTCAATCCACAAGGGGTTGAAGGGAAGTTTCCATTACATTTACATTAACCAAGTCTGGATTAAATACTAAGAATCATACTAGTTTGAAAATCGAGTTGCACAACTGCGAGAAAAAATTATCAGAAGAGTTTTGCAACAATAACGAAAGCTCAATATGCACTTGATTGGGATAGACCCAATTTTGGGTTGACAGCAAAACGTCAAAAACGCGACAAGTGTTGCGAATAGTGCACTCGTTAAAAAACGACGTGATCTCAAGGATTTCAAAAGCTTTAAAGTTGAAAGTGCAAACTTCTAGCCAGTTCCCATGTAAAAATATAAATTCCCTCGTGCAGCCCAATTTCGGGGTGACAGCAATACGTTAAAGATACGAGCTGTCTTACGAGCGGCACGCCCATTGAAAAACGACCTAATTCCTCAGGGATTTCAAAACTTCCAGGACGGAAGCGCAAAGTTCTACATGTTGTTCATCAAGAAAAACAAAAAGAGCCCAATTTCTGAGCATTTATCGTAAATTTCTGCCATGGTCTCGTATCCAGAAGAACGGAGCGCGACAGGACCGACCTTCAGCGTGTTGCGGCTCGCGCCGGAATGACAGCCTCTTGACATCACCGTCGCGGCGCCACAATCCTTGGCAAACGAGATGGGCGTCCGTATGGGTGCGAGCCGGCTTCATCCATTGGTCGTGGTGCCGGCAGTGGATTGGTGCGCGGCACAAAATGGGCAAGGCCACCCAGAAGAGCTAGTAGTTTGCGCCGTGTCAGTCGCGGCCGCGCCCACCGCGAACCTGAAGGTCCGACCCCACTGGGACCTGCTGGCACGCCGCTAGTGCCGGCCCTGACACATTCGACAAGCGGCGCCGTAACGGGAAGCAACGCGCGACTGGGGACCTCGAAGGACCTCTCCGCTGGTCACGAGACACCCTCGCGACGTCTCGGTGGCGACGATAACAGGCGTACCGCCGGCAAGTGCTCAGATTACCACCCGCGCGGCCGACCACCACTGGCCTGTTCCGTGCACCCCGAGAGCCGTCCACCTGGGTAGGGATCGCAGGACAATCTCGAAGGAGCCGTCAGTAAGGACGCCTCTGGGAACGACCGTTCGACGAGGGGAGACAGTCGATGATTCCCGCCATCAAGTCGAATACGAGCAGCCCGCGACGGCACGTTGCACGATCGCCGCGCGTCGAGTGACGCGACAGTGACGGAAAGCCACGACAACTCGCGGAGGACGACAACCGATCGCAGAGATCGAGAGAGAGAGAGAGAGAGAGAGAGAGAGAGAGAGAGAGAGAGAGAGAGAAAGAAAGAAAGAGAGAGAGAGAGAGAGAGAGAGAAAGAGAGAGAGAGAGAGAGATCGAGAGAGATCGAGAGAGAGGGACACGATCCTGCGCGAGCGTGAGAACGAGCGAGGCAGAACTGTCGTATCCAGTGGGGAAAACAGTGTATTGTGAGACTCCAACGCGACCTTAGTGCGCGCTCGCAACCCTTACCCGCGAACTCGTGGCACGCACGTTCGGACGCATGTGCACCGGCACGCGGTCGGTGCGGCCGACTTGACGGTGCAGCCGCGGAGCGACGCGACGACGCCGTCAGTGGTGAGCGGACGTTCCGTGCACCGGCGCCGCGGCTCACACCGGCCGCCGATCTCGTTCCCGGTGCTGCTGATGGCAGCGATTCATGCGCGGTCCTAAGAAACACGCGATAACGTGCGCGCGCTAATTTTGACGGTCTGATTCAGCGGGGAGTAGGCGCGACGACCAGAGGAAGAGAGAGAAAGAGAGAGAGAGAGAGAGAGAGAGAGAGAGAGCGAGAGAGAGAGAGAGAGAGAGAGAGAAAGAGAGAGTTTCCGCAAAGAGTGACAACGCGAAGAAGGAAGCCTGTTGCCCCAGGAGAGTCCGTACGGCCTCACCACGCGGTCCGACGAGTGGAGCGGTCTCCTGCCCAGCTCCACGATCGTGGGTGCTGGGGGGTCGCCATGGCTCGGACTCGGCGCAGGGGGTGGTACCGGGGCCACCACGGGGGGCGGAAGTCCCGTCGAGCTCGAAGGACACTGGGGTCGCAAGCTGTACGGCGCGAGTGTGGCACCGCCACCCCCGCCGCCGCATCATCATCCGCGGGCACCGTTAGTTTTCGCGCCTCAGGACATGAGGCAGATACTCAAGGAGGAACCGGTGCCACGTGCTTGGCCGCAGCCCGCCCTCGCCGACAACGGAACGTGAGTACACGGCGTCCGTTTTTCACTTTCACCTTGTCTCGCATGTGAGAGGGGTGGGGGGGAGTAGAGTAAAGTAGAGAGGAAAGAGAGAGAGAGAGAGAGAGAGAGAGAGAGAGAAGAAGGTTGTCGATGATCCGCGAGGTTCAGTTGTTAATCCGCTTGACCGACAAAGACGCGATACAGAGAAGCCACGTGTAACGTTGACGCGAAAGAATGTTGTCTGAGAAACAACCCCCGCTGACTTCGATTTGATCGAGAACACATTTCGGGCAGCCACCAAACCGCGGAAAGGGCTCACAGCGTGATGCGTCACGTTCGGGTCGAGCTTCGGGATTTCCTCCGGGCGACGTGACTTGGGAATAAGCGTAGCGCGCGACGTCGTGCCATGACGTTGCAAACGAGGATTTTCAGGGAAAGGTGCAGAGAGAAAGAAAGTTTCTCAAGATGACAGCTTCTTTCAATGGTCGCGCGCGCGTGAACGAAACGCTTTGTCGACGCGCGCTGAAATTTTCGCCCGTCGTTATTTCGCGCGGAAATGATACATTGATACGTTGAAAAACGAAATCGCGGGTTATAAATTATTAAAGGCGCGCATGCTGTTACCTCGTTGCACGTTCGTCCGAACCGGGCAAAATGTTGATTGCGCAGCGCTAACATCGTTAAACGCGCTTTTAATCTTTAACCTGGTTAAACAATCGCCGGCCGGAGGTCGCGCGACGACGAATTTAACGGGAGGCGCGATGAAATCCACAAAAACGCCCCGGAATAACGCACGTCTTCCGTGGAAGTTCGAGGCGTCGCTTGCCGTCGGATCGCGCGGCGAGCTGTATCCCTGCGCGCCACATCGCCGTCCCGAGGCCATTCGGCGCTCGTTAAAATTGTAAAAAGGCTGTAAATACCGCACGACGGGTGCGCGAGCTGCGAGTTTCAGCGGAGCGATAAATATCGACGCATTCGAGCCGAAGAAGAAAGAAAGAGCGAATGACAAGGCGCGCACTCTTACAGCCGCTTTTCCGCAAGATATTATTTCCCTCCAGTATCGCCGGACGTGTGCGCTTGCTTGAACGTACGAATCATTCTGGGGGTGTCTCTTCGGCGTCATTGGAGATATCCCGGCACGTCCCGTAGAAGACAACAGCGCCGACAGCCGACAGCCGGCAAGAACGGCCCTTCCTCAGCGTCGACGTCGCTTGACTTTCGTGCCGCGAAAACAAATACTCGCTTTATCCTCTGCGCGTGCGACAGAGATAGATAGGAAGAGAGAGGGAGAGAGAGAGAGAGAGAGAGAGAGAGAGTGAGAGTGAGAGAGAGAGAGTGAGAGAGAGAGAGAGAGAGGGAGAGAGAGAGAGAGATCATACCGTCTCGAAGTGGCGCACACGTCCTCGCATTTGGCGAACGATAAACCGTGCTTTATTGCAGCCTCGCTTAAGGGATTTGTACGACGTGCAAACGACGAAGGTACAGATACGACGACTCGAGAAGGTAAACCGGCGCGGTGGGTCGGACCGGGTTCGCTAATCCAATAGCGGTTCTCTTAACTAACCCCTTCCCTGCGAGCGCAACGTGACACGGGGACCGACCGGAATCGAGTTAATGTAATTGAGAATTTTAGCGCCTTTTGCTCATCGCCCGTCCCGTACTTTCTCCCTCGTTCGCCCGATCATTCTTCCTCCGGGCTATCCGCCGGCGCGCGGCTGACCTTCCCCGCGAGAAGAAAGGCAAATAGACCCCGGCGCGGCGCTCCCGTCGCCGTCCCGCGGAAAGCAAAGCGCGCGGGATTTTATTGCACCGCTGGCTGTTGCAGACAGAGAAAACGACGCGTCGATTACTTGCGGATCGTGTCGAGCGCGACGGACGTGTCGTCGATCTGCGCTGCGGAGTAGTCGCGAACGAGAGAATCGGCAAGGATTCGGGCCGCGCGTTCGCGAATTGGCCTCCTCCTTGACTCACGCATCGGCGAGACACGAAATCGATGCTTTCCCAAAAGTCTACGAACGTTACAGCGCGCATGAGCCATTCATTAACCTGGCAGGCAAAGTTCACGCCGGAAACGAACTTTCGACACACCTCAAATGGCTCTCACAGACCTTCAGCGCGCGAGTCCTTGCGTGCGTTATTATACACCAAGTCACGTGGGGGAACAGGGAGAATTAAAAACAAGAACCGTTTGTCGCGAGAAACATTGATTAAGCGCGAGAGGAGGACGCGCCGATGACTGACGGGGGAATCGCGCCTGATGAAACGCCTACGGCGAATAATCGTCGACTGATAATCACTGCGAGATCAATCACGACCTCGACGTCGGGCACGAGAAACGCGGCGCGGCGCGGCGCGGCGCGTGCGGATCCGCTTGCCAGTATAGGACCTAATTGAATCAATGTTGCGGCAGTCTAGGTAATCGCCCGTGGCGGGAGTTAAAAAGTCGCAAAATGTTAAGCGTCAACTTTCGCCTTCTCTCGGCACACGGCTCAAGTTGGAAAGTTTCGTTTCCCGCTGCGTGAGAGAACGGCTATAACGCCACAACTGCGTTACACCGAGATCGGACTGGGTGGGGTCCGTACGCGAAACTGTTTTAAAACTCCCGCGGAGCTGGCATAAACTCTCGCGCTTTTTAAAAACCCCTAAAAAAGTTATCCACCTAATGAAGCAGTAAACCATCGCGCACCGCGCAAGGTACTGTTGCACGCCCGTTGGAAACGATGCCCTTCTCGCGCGCGCGCGCGCGCAAGAGAGAGAGAGAGAAAGAAGGAGAGAGAAAGAGAGACAAAGCGGTGAGCTCAAGAGGGCGGAGAGCCGCGAGGGAGAAAATCGCCATCGATTCGCTGTCGAAACGACGACGGATCCGATCGCTGAATCGCGCGTGAAATCCGCCGTGCGGCCGCGATGTTTTCGCGAAGTCGCGCCGGAACGCTTCCGAATTATATCGATCGCGCTTTATAATTTCAAGACAAACATCCACCCAAATGTTGAATATTTAATGCGCAACTAACGATTAATGTGCTTTAACGCGGCGCGCGGGCGTGTGTGTATTTGCTTAAACTTAATTAAAATATGCGAAAATTATTTATTATGACGGGAGCTCTCGTGCGGAATATTTGCGAAATACACGCACGCGCGCGCGCGAGGGTGTTAATAACTAATTGGATTTTTACGCGGCCACGGAGCTGCGATGAAACATAGCACCAAATTGAACAACGTTCGCGGTAACGCACACCGGTAGCAAATTACATTCGGATATATTACAAATTGCTCATTATCTCCGCACGCATTATGATCGCGTTGGGCGCGAGCGTAAACACACACACACACACACACACACACACACAAAGAGAGAGAGAGAGAGCAGGGGGAGAGGAGAGAGGAAGGGAAAGGGGGCGAGGAAGCCAGAGACAGAGAGGAGAGCGCGCGCTTCGGTTAACTCGCAATAACTAACGCCCGACGGCGCGCGCATTACCCGCGGATTTATTGTAATTCTCTACGATTGCTTTATCCGCGAATTCGTAACCATATCGGTGGCTACGTATTATCCGCATATTTCGTCCATAATGCATGGCGCGCAAACAGCAGAGGTCGCGGCTCCTGCATAAAGTAGAGACGATACATCGATCGATCGGTTACATCCGGCAATCCGTGCGCCTCCTCGTCGAGGTTTACGCTTTTCGTTCTCTGTCGCCGTCCTCGTTGCTGTTGTCTCGTCGTCGTTTAAATGTCGATTACGTCGTTACCGCGGTGCCGTCGGTCCCGCGGACTTGGCCGGCGACGGGGAAAAAGTCACCGGCCGCACAATTTAGCTCCCAACACGACTTAATAAAGCGCCCACGACTCTCTCCTCTCGTAATAACTCGGTGTTCGCACGCTTCGTAAGCGCGCACGCGAGCGTTCTTTTACGCCCGTCGTACGATTGCAATTTGTACACTCGTCACCCGCCCTCTCATCCCTCCAACTTTCTCTAACGCTCCCACTCATTTTCTCTCTCTCTCTCTCTCTCTCTCTCTCTCTCTCTGTCTCTCATTCTCGCGAACTGGAAAACGCAGGCCGTATCTTCGTTCGCATATTCCGAAACGCGCGTCGCGCGCGCTTTAGAACGATATCATAGCCGATCGATCGGAATCTGCAAATCGAATCGCACGGGCCCGCTTTAGTCGGCCGCGAAAGAATAATCGCGCGGTGGGATAGCGTGGCGGCGGCGGCGGCGGCGGCGGCGGCGGCGGCGGTGGCGGTGGCGGAGGGAATCGAATGATTCGCAGGTGCCGGAACGAGCGGCGTTATCTGCAAGCCGAAAGCGCACGCGTGGCAAATTGCACGCACGAATACAGTAAACGCGAATGGAGCCCGTAATTATCACCTCTCTCTCTCTCTCTCTCTCTCTCTCTCTCTCTCTCTCTCTCTCTCTCTCTCTCGGCGTCGCTCGTCGGCGAGACGAGCAACGCACGGGGGGCGCCGGCATAAACGCGTAAAGCGCACGTTATCCGCGCGTACATGTATTTGTACGGCGCGTTTGTGTCGCCGTGAAAACGCACCCCCCGACACATTCGCGCGGTACTGCCGAGAGAGCGGGAAGAGTGCTGCAAAAAGTCGGCCGTTTCAGCCGAACCGATATATTGCCGAAGACGTATCGACGCGGTATCGGCATGTAATCAGGATCATACGGCGAGTTTAGTGTTGCGTTTTCTGCGCCTGCCGGATTTACGCGTCTCGACTCGCCGCTCGGATCGTTCGAGGACAACGACGCGACTGAACGCGACGGATGAGTTCAAACGTTCGTCCACCTGACAGTGGAGCCTCGTGTGAGGCATGATGAGACAACGATATAAGAATGGATCTGTACACACTAGGAAAAATGTATTGTTGCGCGAACGAAAATTTTGTTGTAACAACAAAATAATTTGGTTAAAATATGCCCAACAAAACTGTTTAGCTCCTGTAAACAAATATCTTTGTTTACGGTTTGTTCGTATAACGTAATACTTTTGTTATAGCAACGAAAAAAGCTTTAACTATATGAATTTTGTTAAAGATACTACAATTTTTTCTTAATATATAAAATCTAAATTTTAGTGCACAGAAAGACAAAATAGTATCCATTAGGCATTATTTTAGTTTATGTAAAATAATATTTCGTTATTATGTAATTTTTATGGATAAAATAACTAAAATGCTTAATTTTTATATACGAAGTCTAAGAACAAAATCACTTGGTCCAGAGAACAAAGCAGAAAAATATATTTAGTTGAGACAACTAAATATTTTGTTATATAAAACAAGATATTTGGTTGCTATTAAAAAATGCCTAAATTAAACAGTTTTGTTAAAGATACTAAATTTTCTTTCCTAGTACACGGAGACTGCGCTTTCCCGACATATCGTATTTTGGCCCGAATTTCGATCTCCATCAATATTCCATCCCGCGTTAATTTCATACTTTCAAGTTATATCAAGTTGTATATTTGACCCGCAAATTTTTGCCGAGAGGCACAGTTTTCTCTCGAGAGTCCCTACTCTCGAGAGTAGCAAAATTATATTTTCCGTCATTTAGAGGCGTCGACCGGATTTTTGGAGAATTCAGGTCGAAAGCAGAGTCAGAATTTCGGGTTGGGTTCTCAAACAAGAGGTTTGAAGACAAGACGTAAAGGACAGCTATATTCCCCCTCCCATAGACACGCTTTCTTCGTCTTTTCCCGATAGGAGTGAAACTGAACAAAGATCGAGCGTGCTTGTGCGACCGGCACAGACCGTCCTTTCCAGATGCAGTCTTTTATCCTTTTCTCCCCAGGCTCTAGTAGAGGAGCGCTGAATCTGTGTCCAAGTCGATGATAAAAACAATCGAAAGGAAGCTAAAAAATACAGCCAGCGCGCGGATATTACAGTCCAGTAAAAAGAAAAGCATCAATGCAAAATATATCCATGAAGTCAGGATGCGCATCATTTGCTTTAATAGTCCAAATAAATAATCCAACTCGGACTATTAAATATCTTGATAGTTTTTCTTTTATCGGAACATAACACTCGTACGTAGACTCTTATCGGCCCCATCTCCTCTAGTCTTGATCGTACAGCAAAGAGCCTCCGCTTCATTAGATCGAGGAAAGATTCTGAACTGGTCAAATGGGCGGGGTAGCGGCTAATCTAACAGTGGCAAATGGAGAAACTGTAAGGACGCGGGTAGGGCCGCGTCAAGGCCGTGGAATTTCGCACCGAAGGCAATTTCTTCGTGGAGCAATTTGCGCGCGAACACACACACACACACACACACACGCACGCACAGGCACAGGCACAGGCGCAGACACGTACGCGCGCCGGTGTGTGCGACCGCATACGCACTATTGTCATATTAGCGATACGAAGTGCGGGCGCGTATGCGCGGTTTTCCGCAATCCTCGATAGTCGGGCGGAAAAGGCGTGATAGTGGTGGTGGAGCCGACGCGTGGGTGATAATATAACGGTGCGGCGGGACGTGCCTACACGTTATGTAGGAATTGGTGCATGGCAAACGGGGCAAAATAATCGGACGTCGAGAGTTATGGGGCGCGAACCGGCGGCCGGTTAATCAGCCACCGATAATTATCGACACGGGCAGTACATCACTCCCCTTCCTCCCCGGCAGCGTGTGTCCACCACCCTTGCTTGCAGCCTCCCCGCGCCGCGAGCCCCCGCGGCCGTCCACGCCGCCCGCTCGCGCTCTCAGCCGAAATCCCGCGTTGCAACCCCTTGCAACCGACCCCTCGCGTCGACTGCCCCCCTGCGCCCTGCCCTCTACCTGCCGGCGGCTCGGCGTCCCACCACCTGGCGTGACAAACGCACCGCCGATACCATCATTTATTTCGCAAATGTGCTGCAAAACTGCCGCTATTCATTTTCGGTCCAGTCGATTCAGTTTTCCGCTCCGAGGGTCCGCCCTGATGGCCGCGCGCGCGCACGCAGTCTCTGTGCAGTCGTGCGATGGTTTTATCGTTTCGCGACGGCCCGGCGCCGATAACGCGATTTCTCGGCGCTTGATTTTTAACCGTGAGCCCAGCGCGATATACGCCGCGCATGAAAGGATTCCTCGATATCGGCGTAGCGCGCGTTTGACATTCGCAGCCGAAAAGTTTCCAACGAAATTTCCACTTTGTCTCTGCGCCCTGTCTCCCTGAGAGGGCAAGAATTCGGTAATGAGCGCGGAGAGGCTTGAATGCTCATTTGCCGCTTGCGCTTCGGTCGGAGGAGACGGGATTTCTGATCCTCGCGACCGAATCGCGGCTTCGAAAGGAGCAGAAATTCCGCACCCCTGAGCGAGGACGCATTCGCCTCGCGTTCGTCGCCGCGGAAGTTCACCGCCGAGCTTTTTCTCCGCGGGCGGAAGGACGGGGTGATCCGTGCGACACAATCGAGCCAATGTCAATAGGAATTATCGCGCGATTACGGCCGATGGCCGCGCGACTCGTGGACGGCCGAGTAACGACGGAATAATGGGCGACGAGAAACTCCGGAGTTTTACGAGATCAGTACCGAGAGCGCGGTGCGCGCACGCGACGCAACGTACTCGAAAAGGGGACTTTCTGTGCCATTACTCAAAGATGGCAGTGGAGTCCGGCGGCCTAATCTCGGCACATGAGACCTTAATGGGATTTTAAGGCGTCGAGGCCACCTGCGCGCTTCCCCACGCTCGACCTCGTTTGTCTTTCCTCTCTACCGGTTTGGGCATTCTTATTGCACTCAAGGACGAGACTGATACACGTCTTTGACCCCGCGATATATAGAACACCGCTTAATCGTTCCACTTGGCTTCAAAGACCGTCGAAATGCCAAGCACCTGTACATGTCGGCGGCCTCGTGATAAGAAACAAATATGTATAAATTGATCGCAAGTGCGTATATAAATTGACAAATTGGCCGAATCGTGCGCGGCAATGGCCACCTGAGAGAGAGAGAGAGAGAGAGAGAGAGAGAGAAAGAAAGAGGAAAGGAGAGGAGACGATCGCGAGCAAGTTGGAGATTGATCATGCGACGTCGATTTCGTCAAGATTCGCGAGATACCTGACCGTCGGCGCGATGATGCCACTCGTTGCATCGCGATACAAAATGAGACAAGTCTGAGACAAGTGCGAGACTTAGAAGAAGGCAGTAAGAAACGCGTTTACGGTAGGACGATTGTAAAACGTCGCGTTTGATTGATTACAGGGTCGGCGTGGGCCGGGCGCATTTCGAGAAGCAACCGCCGAGTAATCTGAGGAAGAGCAATTTTTTCCATTTCGTAATCGCCCTTTACGATCGACACGGCCAACCGATCGAGATCGAGAGGACGTCGTTCATGGGCTTCGTCGAGAAAGATCAGGTAATGGTTTCTGCTATTACGCTCGCCCACGAGGGCGCTTCGCACGCCGTCCTTAACACTTCCACCGTCCGCGTCCGGCCGATTGATCCGTCGATGCGATAACTACGGCGCGCGAGTTACTGTCTTAAATCGTGATGGCGCGAGAAATGATCCGCGACCCCTCCCCGGCGACCGGCTGAAAAAGCTTGAGAAACCCGGTCGCGTCGAAACATTTTTCTCCCGGAGACGCGCGAGCGAGCGAGCGAACGACGATAAAGGATCGCGGCGGCGCGGCGGCGACGGCGGCGAGTTTGTGAGAACCGGTGGAAATGAGCGACGATAGCGGATGATAAGTTCGGAATTTCAATGCTTCGCCGCTAACCGCGACGCGCTCCCGTGAGGCCGGATGGAAAAAACGGAGAGGAGGCCCTTTATGACGCCGGGGAATATCGTGCGAGCGCGCACGCGCGCGCTTATCTCGATAATTGCCGTTTCCATCGGGGCTGCGGCGTCAAATATTAAACAGCAACGCCTACGCGTACGTACGAGCGCGTAAGCGTATCGATAGTCCGTGGAATCCATATCCGGCGCCTCTTTTCCGACAATTAGCCGGACAAGCGAAAATCCATCGGCCGCCGATGAGAAATGAACGGCGCGCGCGATGCAGGATCAAAGGGATGGTCACGCGAAGCGAATGACCTAGGAATAATAAAGGAGAAAGAGAGAAAGGGCGAGAGGGAGAGTGAGAGAAAGGAAGAGTGGGAGAGGGGGGAGAGAGAGAGAGAGAGAGGGAGAGGGAGCCCTTCGACCGCTTCCATGTCCATGCTCGCGACGTATCTTCGATCGAAGATTACGCTCCGCCGGGCGTTTGTTAGCCGGGCGCGCTCGTGCGCGAAACACGTCGGCCTCTCCGAGAAATTACCGTAATTGCCGGCGATACAGTCCGCAGCTAATTATTTAGCAGTACATACGATAAATTCCGTCACACGTTTGTGTGTTTCATCGAGCGTTGCCACGATCGCGTACGCGCCAGAGAGGACTGCGCCAGCAGGCACACTACGACCGATTATCAGAAACTGTGCCTTTTCCTCTCGGCGGTAAAAACTAAGTCTGCGCGAAGTGCTGGTCGATTCAGGTCGATCGCCACGTCGGAAACTATCCAGATTGAGACACGGGTAGATTTTATGCGACCGTTCGGGCCGCGCGAAATCCTCCTGTTTGTTTCCCTCTGATGCGCGATACGGAAAACACGCGCCTCCATGAGAACGACTGATTCCGCCGGAAACACCTGGAAAAACAGCTCATGTCTAGCCGTGAAAATAGAAACTTCCTTGGTAGAAAAAAAAAAAAAGTATAAATTACGAATAAGCGGGAACGACGCGCGTGGTAAATGAACGCGATGGATTTACGCGATGAAAATACGCCGACAGCCGCCGCGCCGTATCGTTCGATTTCTCATCTCGCCCGATCACTGCGGCCACGACAACGTGACGGACGCGGACGCGATGCTTGAAATTGCACCGGGCACCGCGCCGACAGCTGCAAATCCGAGTTCCGCTCGCGAGGAGTTATCGCGGGAAACGATCGCCGCGACGACCCCGAAAGAACGCCCTGAAACGGGACGCGATTGTCAGCGTTCGGTCATCGTTAGAGCTCCGCTTTCTATTGGTCAATTAGTACAGCTGTTTAAGGAGAAGTTAACTGCCGCCGCGAGCGCGAGCGCGCGCGCGCGCGCGTCCATTCTTGCGCAAGAGAAATCGTTACGTATCAAGAGATACCCGACGCGCGCGCGGGACAAACGAGCGGGCGCGGATTTGCACGAGTAATACACATCTCCGGTATGTGTGCGCACAAGAAGAACCAGTATACGGCCGCGCGCGCTTTATGGCGCTACATCGAGGATCGATCGATCAGTACGCAGTACGTACGTAGCGACGTATGTGAGGGGCGCGCGGGGGACCGCGGGCCACGTACGCGCGCGAACGGCACCGCCGAATAACCGACCAGGAAATCCAGATGCACGGCACGCGGACGAGCCAAGGTCCACGCGCGTATAAATTATCGAAACGTAATCCCGACCGTAACCTCTGGAATTCTGCGGCGAGCCCCGCAGGATATATCGACGACGCTCTGTCGGAAGTCCCTCTATCTCTCCCTCTGTCGTCCTCTGTCTTTCGCTTTCTCTTCCAGCTCGGCGCCCCCGGGCTCTAACGAGGTACACCCACTAATAAATCTATCCACCATAAATCGTCGGCTCTAATTCGACAGCGGGGACCGTGATCGCGTTTGGATCGCGTCGTCGGACGTGCGATCTCGCGCGCGCGCGCGCGCGCGCGCGGCTTTAAGAACGCCGCTCGAGACCTCGCGCGATGGAAAGTTTCACGGCTTTGGCCTGGAATTCGTCGCCTCGCGATCAATTGTCCGCTCCGAGAGTGCCGCGACGAAGCGAGAAAAGTCCCTTTAATATCGTGTGTGGTATGACGTATGATGATGATTTTGCATAATTGCCGATTAAATTATAATGAGCCGTCGGATAGTACAGTCAGACAATAAAGAGGCAGCGCAAGATGTCGATTGCGAAATCGCGTTTAATAAATATGACACAAATCGAAAGCTTTAAAAAAGTGTTCTTTTCAATCTGTGTTACGTCTATTACACGGAGAAAAGATTGTATTAAAATTAAAGTAATATTTGTTCGAACACGACTGTGAACACATTTATTCAAATTAAGCGACTAATTTCTAAAATTAAATACAGAGGTTCTGAATGTGAAACTTTTTTCTCGAATTTTGGAAAATAATTGCTTAATTAAAATAAATGTATTCACAGACGTATTCGAACAAATATTTGTTTAATTTTGATACAATTTTTTCTCAGTGCAAATGTAATTTCGCGAAACTGATGCTTTGCTGTGGCTTTATAAACTTTACTAATCATCTTATCTCATATCGATGTGATTGAGCAAAGAAAGATGCAAGAGTAGCATTCGTAATCGAGTCGTATTCGAGATTGTCTTAAATTCACCTCACAAAACGCTGCACGGACCGGAAAACAATTTTGTTAATGAAACCAAGTGGAAAATTTCATTTTACTGACAAAAAATATTCTAACTAAAAATAGTAGTTTTCTAAAATCAGTCATTTCAATCAAGTTTGAATACCAGCAGAATTATCAAACGAATCGTATCGACAACAGAGACACATCACCTCAATTACCCGAACTGACAATGAGATCTCTCTTTCCCTGTACGCGCTTTTCGCACAGCCGACCGTAAAGTTTGCATTCGATCCTGTCCGGTCGACACCGACCGGATTCGCGAAACTTCAGGAAACCGCAAAAGATTGCGTAACGTGACGCACAAGCGCCCGATTAATTATTCGCATCGCGATGAATGTTCGTCGACGGTCCCCCTCGCTCCCGGCGTCCTCCTTTTCCCGGAGCCATCTTTTCTCGTGAGAATCTATAACGTTCCGGTCGTTCTCGCCCCCTCTCCACTCGCTCTACCCCCGCCTAGCCTGACCTTATAATACGTGCATAATTTACGTTGTCGGGACAGTTGCATCGCGTGGCCTCCCTATTAATTAGGGTCATGCACCGCGGACATGCATCAACCTCGTGCCGAGTACCGTTTGTACCTCAGTTCACGCATCTCCTCCTCCCCCGGTCCATCGCCGGTCTTAATCGGAATTGTGTATTTTATCACAACTACCGCGAGAACATTCGTGTCAAGCGTCTCAATTATAGTCGTTGCTTGACAGCAGAGAAAAACTGCAAAAGCCATGGAAGACATACGACGCAATAGAAGGCAAATAATTAAATCTTACATATAATCATATAATTAACATGTAATTAGATCTCGCATAAAAATTTCCTGAGACCTAATCTGATCGGCATTTCACAAAGAGAATTCTCACATTAATCCATAAAGTGTTCGATAACGTGTCGTCTCGTGTCTCCTAAGTACTTAATATCTACCGTAGAAAATCCAAAACATGCGAGAAAGTAAGAGCAGGTAAACCGAGTCCCACTAAGCTACAAACCGACGCTCGTCCGCGCCCGCACGCTCCCCGGAAATGGACGCTCTAAGTAAATATCTGGCGTCTCCTCCTCGTCCCGTCCGCTTTTTGTTCGTGTTTAATTAAAAAGCAGTCAGCGGAGGAAGAGAGAGTGGCTCGACCTATCCGCGTATATATCTGATTAACGTCCGCCGTGCGCCGGACGAATTTAGAGATTATATGGTCGCGACGACGCGAACGCCGACGACAGGACAGGAAAGAGCTTAATGCGTGCGCTCACGGAGCGCGCGAACGCGAGCGCAACCGGGGAAAAAAGGGAAGAAAGACGTTGCCGGTCGTCCGATCGATCCAAGTAGGACCGATTATATCCGATGAAGCGGGAGGGCGGACGCGAACGGAGCCCGGCTTCGTTAGAAAAATGATCGCTCTCCCCCGCGTACGTTCGCTCGCTCGCTCGCTCGCTCACGGAGAAATCTCGCGATGGATTTATGCGGTTTTCTTATCCACGTCGGCTATTCTCATGCTTAAGCTGATAAGCCTAGTAATCCGCCGATATCTTCAGCGGAACTCGCGCACGTCAAAATGAAACAGTCGCGTTCGGAATACACGGTGGATCAGGGGAGTCTCGGGGTCTCGCTCGCGCACGACGAACGTAAAATATTCAAGTGCAACAGGCGTTAGTAAAGGCTCCTCTAAATTTTGTCACATCGAAACATTGCTGTCATGCCGTAAGTACCGTTTCTACGCGGAGAAAGTTTGTACTCGCGTGTACTCTGGGATGGAATATTCATACTCTTTACAATTTAATTGATTAATAAACGATGAGCGAGTAAGCTCGTGGTGAAAATAAATCGATAGATTAATAGTGTACGTCTTAAGCTTGATTGTCACAAAGTCGATTTTGCAGTTTGAAAATGTAGTTTATACATGTTGCCAAGTTTATTCTTTTATTATAATTTATTGTTCCAGCATTTATACTATGGTTTTTAATTTTACTCGAGACTTGTTATAGCCGATAATAGATTAAAATGTAAAATTCCGAGTAAGAGTATCAGTTGACTTATCAAACAAAAACGGGTGCAATTGTCGCAAATTGTAAACATTGTTCGCTACAAGATATAAAAATATATACATGAAATATTTTCCCAAGCTACTTTCAAATGTTCTAAATAACACGATTATATTCTAATCAAACAAGTTACATACAATACAAATACGATCGCGCTCTCTCAGTGCGCAAATGTCATCGTCGTCGCGATAAATTCTCTACGTACCCAACTTCTGTTTTATTTACAATCGGCCGCTTTCCAAGTCACTAATTAAATCGAAATGTAATCGTACGTAAAAAAAAGAAAAAAAACCCCGAGCGAGGAGTCAAGAAAGCAGAATCGCCGGGTCGGGGGAAATTCTAGATAACCGCGCTCGCGCGCACGGAGAGAGGCGGAGCGTGAACGACGAGCCGACGGAGTTTTCCAACACACATCTATGCGCGCGTATAATTACGTTAATTTGACGTGAAATCGATTCGCCACCGCCGACGTTTATCCTCGAGTCGAAAGGTCGTGCGCACGACTAAAAGTCGTGGTCGCGCGTAGCGCGCGCGCGCGCGCGCGCGCGCCGGGGGCCGGTGGTGGTCGTGGGTGTACCGACCATGATGTTCCGGGGGTAGGTAGTTGAAAATGCATTACCGCGGTCGCGGCATATGGCACGATGCACGCATGACTCGTCAACGGGGCAGGATGATAATTATGCATCGCACGCCATACGTAATGGCATGGCTCTTACCGGCGCATCAAGAAATTAATAATTAGCGTGAGGTGGAGCAGGCCGGGCGGGCGGGCCGCACAGGCGTTGCGTCACGGTGCACTTAATTAAAATAGAACAGAGCGCGAAGAACGCGAAACCGCTCGCGTACGCGAGCGTAGAGCGCGATAGAGCTAAAACGCCACGCGGACGGGCGGACGGACGAACGGACGGACGACTGGCTGGCTTCAAAGCGTCGGCGGCGGAGGTCCGCGATCAAATGAGTAGATGAATCATAAAAACAATCCAGATCCGAGCTGATTCGCGTGCAAATCGAGGCCTGTTTCGCCTCGGATTCGCGTTTCGCGATCGGAGATATGATCGCGGAGAAATCACTGTGTGTACATTGTGTGTCGCTTCTTGCAGGAATCCGAGGGCCAAAAGACGAACAACGGTATCCAGTACAGCCTGCACTTGCTCTACTCCAACGGTAAGTTGGCGGATTTTCGGCGCGCGTGACGCGCGGATCGGTCTCTCGCGGCGGCCACTCTCAAATCGCTCAAACGTGACATATTCATCGGCCGTGCGAATCGTCAACGGCCGGTGTGTGGTCGGTTTCATAATTTATTTTTCCACCTGATGCATTATGTAACGACTAACGCGCCGCGTATTTGCGCGAAATATTAACACACCCAATCCCGCGATGAAATGACGCGCGCTACGTGCTTATGTGAGCACGCGCGCGGGGGGGGGCACGCGCGTAGGCGTCGCGAGCGAAAGGGGGGACACGCCAGACTCTCGATCGGATCGATCTCTGCGAGGCGCGTATTCTCAGGGCCAGACGTGTAATAGCTTCATCCGGCGCGGCGACGACGATGACGGGCCATCGACATTCCACGCGAACACCCGGTCTCTTAGGACCGCTAAAAAGCTCCGAGGCTGGACTTTCGAGGCCCGGGCTACGCAACAGACATATTTTACGTCACACCGGCCGCGATGCGCGACAAAAAGGGCCCGAAGCAGCTTCCGTCTCTCGAAGAAGCGCCCGAACGTCGCAGGGGGACGGCGGCAGTGCGAGAGGGGGAGGAAGGAAGAAAGAGAGAGAGAGAGAGAGAGAGAGAGAAACGACAACGACAACGCGCAAAAGGGATCAAAAGAAGCGAGCGGTTCGAAGGTGGTCCGGCTGCGGAGGGGCCGCGTCCTCCCCCCAAAAACGCGCTCGCATTATGAACATATTGAAAAGCCGCAAGGCGCTATTCGCGGTTGCCCGGCTCGGGAGAGCAGCAGTTTTTCGCTCCATATACGCCGCGAGTAACGTCAACAGGCCCCGCTCCTCGTCTCTTTATCCCCCGTTCTTGCAGCCACCGCCGCCGCGAAAGCACCCCTCTCGTTCGCCTTTCTTCCTGTGTGCCTTTCCCGTCCTTCTTTTTCCCGCGACTCGCTCGCGCCGCTCACCGTTCCTCCCCCTCTTGGCCCCAGCTCGTCCCCGTTCGCCCGATCAATCAATGCAAGATTTTTGCGTTGACTGGTCCGACTGTGAGGGGCCGCGCTGCCATCTAAGGGCACTAAAACGTGTCGCGAACATCGCGAACAAGAAACAACTAACTGTTGCAAACTAAGGAATACCAAGGTGCGCGCGCGCGTTTCTTCGTCTCTCTCGCTCACGCCTTCTTTCGCCGTTCGCAGTCTGGCCAGCGCGGTTCTCTGCACGTTCCGCGAGGGAATCTCGTCTACTCGCTCTCGTGCCCTTGCTTCTCCTTATCGTCATGCAATTTTCTACGTACTTTCTTCCGAACGCGACGTTGTCCGCGCGATTTCGTCCCAGCCGGAATTTTGCGTATCGGGATTCTCATCGGCGCGAGCGCGAAAAAGGCTTGCCCGGCGAAGCGGGAACCGCGTTGAGGGAATACTTAAATATGACGAATCTCCGAGAGAGCATATTTGCGCGTGCCTCGCATTCAAATCCCGCCCTCCTCCCTCTAGTAATTAACGCTGCAAGTCTTTACGATTTTATCGCGTCGGTTTTTCCGCCAAATTTCCTCTCTCTCTCTCTCTCTCTCTCTCTCTTTCACGCCCCTAATTTATATACACGTTCGCAAATCCACCGATTAAACTCGCGTATTGGAGAAACCAAAGTTTTCTCCCTCTCTCTCTCTCTCTCTCTCTCTCTCTCTCTCTCTCTCTCTCTCTCTCTCTCCCTCTCTCTCTCTCCCGCTGCCAACGATATAATCGGATATCCGAGCGGAAGGAGAAACAGCGGACTCGCAGTCGGCCTACATGTCGTCGGCTACACGCGCTCTACTCGCAAGAAACTCCGAGGGGGACACTCGCGAGAGAATCACTCGCGCAGTCATCGAACACGATGATGTTGCCGGAGTTTATACATTGTCGCTCGCGAGACTACCGCGCTCTTACCGCGCGCTAGTCATGCCCTTTACGGTCCATCGCTACATCAGCACTCAGCGCGGCTCTGATTTATGCGCCGGCTCGCAGATCGGCCTGTCGTGTTCGCATCGCTGTTTATAAAAGTTTCATACGCGAAATACTCGGCCGTGCACGCGCGCCCGCGCGCCGCTCTTATACCCCGGAGACAAATTGGAGCGCGGACATGTTCCATCTCCCTCTCTCCCTCCCTCCCCCCCCCTCTCTCTCTCTCTCTCTCTCTCTCCCTTTCTCCCAGTCTACCGTTATCCACTGGCAGATCCGCCATCAAGTGTCCCCGTGCGCATCACCGATCGCCCGACCAGGCAATAAATCTATAATTAAATAATAAATAAGGAGCGCTCCCTAACCGTTCCAGTGACGACGGGCTCTCGCCCATATCGGGTCGCTACTCCTTTTTGTCATCGCTCGCTCTCCTGCTGCATCTTCGCGTGCTCCGTTTCCTCTTCATCCTCTTCCTCCTCCTCCTCCTCCTCGCCCTCGCCCGCGTCGTCTACCTTTTTCTGCACGTTTCTCCGGCCGCGGTTGCACACACGAGCGATATGGAAGATACGCCACACGCATACACGAGGACGAAAACGGTAGCACCTGGTGAGATAGAGACGGAGACGACGCCGGAGGAACCTGCGTTAAGACCGCGGAATATCGCGGTGCATAATAAGAGCACGGTTGATCAAGGCTCGCCGATCCGATGGACGCGGCCCAGCGGTGCGTCCGCTTCTTCACGGGATGCCGTTTTTCTTCCGCACCGCCGGCGCGAACCCGGTCGCCTAGTTATGCTAATGCTGGCCGATCTAAACTTATTTGCCTCCGCATAGCGGGACGTGACATGCGAGTCCTCTTCTTACACAGCGCGTTCTTCAACGCTTGCCTTTATCGTCACTTCGAGTCGAATCGCGAAGTGCCGCCGCCCCGGCGATAAGCTCGACGCGCGGCATTCCGCGCGCGCGCGTGATTACATTCCGAGTCCCTCCGAACCGGTGCGGAATGCATCGCGGTCCGCGACGATGAGTTTTTCTCCGTCATGCTCTTGACGCTACCCACGTGGTCCTTTCTTCCGTTTTTAATGATCAACGTAGTCTACATACGAATGCGTTGCTAGAAAATTACTATTCAAACCTCGGTACGAATAGGAAAGCAATGTTGTTCGTTTTCATTTCAAAGGTCGAAGGTCAATTTAACGGCACATTGCGATTCTTACACCGTAAGATTATAATTCTGCATAATTATAATCGCAATTATGATTTAATTAATTTCTAAATTCACGTGCATTATATATATATTTATAGGAAATAATTATAATTTAATCGCAATTCGAAGAATGAGAGGAATTACTTCCCCGTTCGTTGGAATAATTTTATTCAACGGAGAAATCAAAGACATCCCGCCATTTTTCCGCGAGAGACACCCACAATCGCAATTCGCGGTGCGTCCGCCGAGGCAAAGCGACCAACTTCCTACTTTCGTATCGGATCATTGCCGATTAGAATTCTCGCGGCGGAGAAAACCAGATATTCCGGCGGAAGCTCGCATCAGTTATTCGGTCAGTTTAGCGTCGGCCCGTATTTGCAAATCCTGACATGGCCACGGATACGGTAAACCGGTTGACTGCGTACGTAACTTCCGGTAAAGCCGCGACGGTTTCTCGAGGTAATTTGTGAGCTAGTTTCGAGCCGGAGTATCGTAATCCGCAATAACGTTATGCGGCGTGAGCCCGGACCTGGGCGCCCGCCGGGGTCTGCGAGTCTTATGTCGGGATTACCTGGCTTACCGGGCACGCGAAGCCGGAAGCCACGGGGGTGTCTGTCCGAAATACACCCTGGGATTACCCGCTACTCCCTCAGGAAGGAAGGAAGGAACAGTTTCGAAAACTTGCAGCGCGCGCGGCCTTGGCGACCGCCGTACGTAATAGTTACGATCCACGCGGATAGCGCGCCGGTAAATAGCGTGCCGATAGGTATCGGGGGCAATTTAACCCTCTTACATCGTCCCCGCGACGGGGGGAGGGGGGGAGGGGTGGCCACGGTTCCTTTCGCGACGCGCTGATAATTACGAAAACGGAAGAGATAAAAATCACATTGCCGATCGTCGCCGCTGCGACGACCAGCGTCTTTGATCCTCTCTCCAACTGGAGCCCGGCGCGGCGTTTACCTTAAAGCGTACCGCTTGCGCGAGCTCGCGAGCACGACGGGATCGGCACGAATTCTTCAGCACAAATTTGTGCATCGATGGGAAGAAGGGCGCAATGTTAATTAGCGCATTACACGTGCGCCGTTTCTCTCGCTCTTCTTTATCGCGACGCGTATGCGATGCAAACCGCCGTCGCCGCCGCCGCCGCCGCCGCCGCCGCCGCCGCGGTGATGTCGGCTACTCGACAAAGGTTCGAAATACGCGTAAGATTGACGCAAGAAGAGAGCAGATATTGTGCATACGCGACGCCGAACGGGCAAGAACGAGCCGCTTTGTCTGTTTTGTAGCGTAGGTCGCTGTCCGCTTTAAATACGCCTCGATATGCAAGTTTTTCTCCGAAGACGCAGAATTTGGACACGTTTCCGTATCGGTCGTTCCGTTCGGCCGGCTCGTGAGCGTAGCAAATGCCTGCGCGGAACGCTTTCTTGCTTATTAACGGAGCCCTTCTTGCGCGTGTGCGAGAGAAGCGTCGTGGACTGTGTTGCATAACGATTGTATCACCTCGATGAGCTTCAATCCGCATCCGTTCGATCTAGTCGGCAAGTACTCGTCAGATCAGTATATTCATGCGCGATATGTTCTATTTGTTTCAGGTGTCAGACAGGTGCAGGATATCTATGTTAGGCTCATCGACTCCGCGACGAAACAAGTAAGTTCAAGTACATCGCGATTCTTTCCCGCTATACAAACTTTTTCTCTTAGCGTAAGGATGTCTAGCTGGAAATTAATAAACGTCTCTTTCTCAACTATGCTTTCTCCAATTTCCTATTCTTTTCTTTTCAATGTGTGCGCCATCGAGGGGAAGTTCGATCCACCCTCTCAGACATGACCAAATATTTATATAGAACCAAGATACCAAAGATACATAAAGTATTATAATACGATACATAAAATTAAATACAGTATTCCTGCAATTTATCTCAATGATCGTTATAAAAACCGAACGAAGCTACACAAGTCTGCGCGTGGACGTCTGTATCTACTTTGCTGCTGAGCACAGCCGTTGTGTTCCGATATCGCCCTGTCATTCGTGATATCTCTCGTAACGCGTCGGACCATGATCGAGGAGAGAAAGAAAGAAAGAGAGAGAGAGAGAGAGAGAGAGAGAGAGGAAGAATATCATCAAACGTCTCATTCTCGAGCGAGTCTCGTTCTCTCCTTCGACAATTCCCTTCCTTTTTTACGCGGCGACGGGATTCGTGCGAAATCGTCGTAGCGACGCGGGCGCGCGCGCGCGCGCGCGCATGTGAACGGGGGTGTTATCATCTCTGCTACAAGCACTTAATTTTCCGGGGGGTTGATTCTTACCCCTCCGGGAAAGCGGGCACACCGCCGCGCGCGCGGCTGTCCCATCCTGTTATCTGCGCCACGTGGCGAACTCTGCGCGCGACCCGCGAACCACGTGTTGTGATCCCTCCCGCAAGCGGCAGGGCCGTAGATCCCGACGCGCCGATAAGGCGCAAAGGAGGATCACAACCTTCGTGCAAACGCAAATACAACGCGCGATCACGGGCGCGATAAGTCCTTTATGCGCGTTCGAGGGTGCTTTTTAGGCTGCGGAGCCATGCGCGAGAGAGGTGTGTTTCGCACCTACGAAATGTCACGACGACATACAGAGAAACGACCGTGCCGTAAAAAGTTAGAGGGAGGGACTTCAGATAAAATAACCGGACGCGGATACGAGCAGTTTTCAACGGTTAAATTAAGACCTCGGACACTCTGCACCGTTACGTGTCGTGAGTCACGAGACTCAAGAGAGAGAAAAACAGAGAGGGAGGGGGGAGGGGGAAGGGAGACAAGAGAAGAGAGATAGAAATAACACACAGATAACAAGTTCGTCGTTCATTCGGCGCTTTCGCGGCTTCATCGATCGCTCCCGAGAGGGCCGATTTATTTAACGAGCGCCGCGAACCGTCGAATCACCTAAATAAGGACATTATCAATTCGCGAGGGAAAGTGAAAAATCACGAGGAATATTGCAGCAGCGTGTCGGTGCGGGACGAACACGGACTCTCTTGGAGATTATTTTGTTTCGTGTCGTGAGCCGGAGCTTCTCTAACGAGTTCCTATAGATACACGCTCACCATTTTAGCAAATTAAATCATCTTGGGGCTGGTCGGTTACGGAGGTAAGAAGAGGGGTAGTAATGGTAGTGGTAGAGCAGTAGGGCGAAGAAGGAAGCGGCGGAAGGACGAGAAGAGGAGGGTTGGAGAAACAGAGCTGATGTTAGTTTTAGCTGATTAAATTACTAAGCCGCGACGGCCTTGCACCGGCAGAAACCGACCGACCGACCGGCCGGTCGGTCGACCGGTCGGTCCTCAATTCGCGATCCATTCCTTTTATTAATCGGATCCGGGATATGTCATAGGGTTGCACGGCTGGACGGAGGGAGAGAGACGGAGCGCGAGATCGATATGTGCATTATCTTGCCAAGCAATTGGCGAAATAAGAAGCGTTATGAATTAGAGAACGACGTCGGGAGGTGCGGAAGCGAAGCGCGCACCGAACGCGCTGTTTACCGACTCGTGAAACGCCACGTTCGTTCCATAATTTCTCAGCGTATCGTACCTCCCCCCGCCCCCTCCCTCGATTGCGATATCGCCAAGTATGCATGCGGGGCTGTCTAAAAATGCGCAGTCACGTTTACGACAAAGTTTTATTAAGTGACGTGTAAATCGACGCGCAGTGTTTCTCTTTCTGTTTCTTTTTCTCTTCTTCTTTATATTGCCTGTAATCGAGGAATCAGTCAGCGACGCGAAGCGATACGTCTCGAAGAGTAATTTCATTGCCCGCGTGAAACACACGCGTCAGAGGGAAGAAAAGGAAAAGGAAGACTGTAGCGCTCATCAATCGCAGTATAAACGAGTGAGAATCGTCGCTGTTCGAGACGCGATGTAAACATGGTCAGTCCGAGAATTTCCGTGTAATATAATTCCGAGTTATAGAAGCTATTCTAGAGGAGAAAGAAAATTGAGGACACAGAGGGAGGGCAGGGGAGGGGAAACGGGTCGACAGCGCTCGAGAACGATTGTCCATGAGGAAAAGAAAAGCGGAAGTGATAGATAGATGCCGGGACACCCTCTTCCGAACTCTATGGAGGAATCATGCCGGTAAAGGGAGTAGAAAGTCGAGCGGGGGAGGGGGAGGGGGAGGGGGAGAAAGATCGAAAACGAGAAAGCTGCAATTTATACATCAAAGCTTCGATTGAACGCGTCTCCGCCGTCCCCGCCAAAGTGAGGAGGAGGAGGAGGAGGAGGAGGATGAGGAGGAGGAGGGGGAGGAGGAGGAAGAGGAGGAGGAGAAGCAAGAGGAAGAGAGAGAGAAAGAGATACACAGACAGGAGAATCAATGTATATTCACGTGGCGTCGGTGTGCTGCGCCGCTACATGCGACAACTCGCGCGAAGTGTTTAGCAAATCCAGGTCGACGTATCCCTCCTTCCCCTCCCCCTGTGTCCATTGTACTCTAGAAAATTGACAAACGCGCCCGGGCTTATCCGTGATTAAAACGTGAAAGATAAAAGGACCGCTTAGAGCCCCCGTATACGTATCGGCCGGCCGTTGTTGCAGCTCGTTCACTTCGAGCTCGCAGTCCCGGGGAATCGCAATTCCCGACGACGTCAATTACGACGGCTCTGATGACGATGACTCGGGAAAGCGACGACGAGTCCCGTCCGATCGACGACCGCGGCATATTTGTGTGTGATTAATAAGAACGCGACATCGTGAATGTGAATTTTCGCAACTATCCTCGCAAGCATTCGTGGCTTGTTACTCGCGTAATTTTACTCGTGCTCGTAACTACTCGTAAATCCCCGCGGTGTCTGCGTACCAGCAGTAAATACTTGTCGGGATCGCCGGTCTGATTTTCACGTCGAAAATTTGCGAACATTCGCGGAAATTCGTTTCACTTCGTCCGACGAGTTCCTCGAGCGAGCGAGCGAGCGAGCGAGCGAAGCCGAGTTACGGCTTGCAAATTGCGATTCGGAAACGCGCCAACTTTCTTCCTCGAGACCGAATCAGGTGCTCGGTTATAAATCCGCAATAATTGGCTACACCGAGTCGGCCGCGCTGAGCTCGTGGTGAAACCCCGTCTTCCCCCTCCCCTCCCCAACCCTTAAGCTTTTCTTCAATTTCTTCGCTCTTCGCCAAGGTTGGTATCTATATCAACGTTCGCTGGATTCTCCGAGAGAGCGAAGTACCTGTACACTCAGACGCGAACGAGAGAACGGGGAAGAAAGAGGGACGGACCGAGCGAAAGAGAAAGAAAGCGGCGTCGGAGGAGGAGGGCAGGAAGGGAAAAAAAGACGCGGCATGTTGAGAACCGTGCGTTTCTCAGTGAAATTTCCAGAAAAATACGAGCTGCTTCCCGAGAAAGAAACGAGTTTTGTGCAGCGCGGCCGAATGGCGCTAACAACGTACGCTTTTAAGCGCTCGGCAACGAACTTCCGGCCGGCGCGAGGGGAACGAACGAGGGCCAGAATGCGCTTTTTCGCGGGATTAAAAATGCTAAATGGTAATTAGTTCCGGGGATAAAAAAGCATTTACAGGACGTGTGTACGGCGCGGGAGCGGAGAACCGCACGGCGCAGTTATTCTAAATGAATGAACAACAGGAAATTGTATGTAACCCTTTTAAGCTTCATCCGACGTCCGAGATGGTCGGCCGTCCGAGTGTTCTGGTTCTCTTCTTTTTTTTCCGTTTCCCACCGTTTGTTAACGTCGGCTCGTCAAGCGTTTAGCGAGGAACCGCGGGAAATGCGCGAATATCGGCCGCGGGGAGGGGTACCGATATGTCGCGTCCGATATGTAGCCGATTATGCGAAGAACCGCGTGCCCTTTCGTGCCCTTCGATTCGCCAAGCGCTCCTTCGCGTTCTTTTCTTCCGCGCGCAGGGCGACGTGTTCGCGTAAGCGTCCGCGGCTTAAGTTATCGAGACAGGCTGACATCCCGGCTTGGAGCATAAAGAGCGCCTGCAGCTAATACTGAAATATGAGTATTTAACCATAGATTAAAGAAATAATAAGTTCGAGATAAGTTAATCCTAGGCAGATAAGGAGAGGAAGAGATCGAAAGGGGGAGAGGAGAGAGAGAGAGAGGGGGGGAGTGGGGATAGGCCGACGATCCCCCAGGCGACGGACACACTTCAAGGGGCGAGGGTGACGTTGTATGCATGTTGTTCGCCGTACATGTACCCCGGGAGGCTACGGGGGTAGCCCATTCGATATAAGGGGGGATTCCCAGGGGACTTTTGGAATCGATTCGGGATGGAAATCATTACGGCAGATTTGAATGACTATCTTCGAATTTATCTGCTCCCTTCGGTAACTCGCCTTTTTCCTCCTCCACCTCCACCTCACGCCGCCGCCGCCATCTTCGAGGGCTACACGAAGAACGACGTAACGCTTTTATTGCCACGCACCGCGCCCGCTTCTTCTCTTCGCCTCGAGAGATATCCGACGATATCGTGTATACGGCGTCGTCGCGTATAAACTGAAGACGTAGCATCGATGCAAACAGCTAATAACGTCTTATCGGCTTATTTTTAGATTATTTCAACCGATAAAATCGCGCATTTGCGCCCCCGTTGAAGCGCTCCGGAGGAAAGCACCGACGGTGTTTCGAGCATCGAAACATTCGGTCTCGTCGCGTCGAACACGTCGCGATAGCGCGCCATCAGCTACGGTTATGGTTTAGCGTGCGGAAGGACTCTCCGCTATAAGTCCTCAGTAAGTAATTCCCGTGGGAATTAGCTGCGGGGGCCCGAACATTCTTCTGCTGGGACCAAGAGGCAACGGAAGATAGGCCCCCGAGGGGATCATGCTGACTGGTCGCACCCCGAGGACTCTCCGTTTGACGTCGTTGCCTCCGTCCACCCTTCGCCTACTTCAAGCGTTCACCCTTGAGACATCCTGCGACACATAACCGCGCCATATCCGCTGAAGAAAAAGACTGTGGCGTTTCCTTCGGGCTCGTGGTGCACGCGGAGGTGTGAATCCGAACGCGAAAAGCTACGGAGGGAGGGGGGGGGGGTTCAGGTCTCTCTAGGGTGCGGTTGGCCGATGGGGATTTTACAGCGAAGTTTTCTACCCGACTTTGCTCATTGATAATTCTATATTCATCGAAACGCACAAACGCGTCTGCCTAATTCACTCATTCGAGTGTTGCTTGACCTCGGCGATAAACGATGTTCCCGAGAATGGCGTAAACCAAACGAATAGCTTCCCAAGAGAGAGAAAGAAGGAGCACCGTGTGATAAAAAGTAATTGCTCGCAAATTGTCCGTGCGTATCGCGAGCATACACAGAATAAACAAAACCGTCCTACCTCGCGAGTGATAATCACTCGGCAAATAATATCGCATGTCACGTCGCACGTGTTACCTGACCTGCCTAACCGCCGTTATGTGTTGAAACGACGATTATTGCGCGGCCCGTAACACCCCCAAGACGATTACACACGGCGATTTTTTAGATTTCGTCAGAAACCTCGATGTCCGCCGGTTCGACGTACAACGTCGCCGGACTTTAACGATCTCCAAAGCGACAAAGGGATTATTAGGGTCTGCTCTCACGGCTACATGCGTCAATGTGTGAGCGACGATACCGAGAAATGTTACCGATTGTCAGCAATTTTTTTTATCTACGCGCACTTTTTTTCGTTCGTCGTAAATTTTGAGATAGTAGATAATGGAGCGAAATTGAAAATTGCAGCTTGACAAAGCTTTTATATGTTGTCAATTTATATTTGAGTGTCAGACACATCCGCATAAGCGGGTAAAGCAGAGAAAAAGTTGGCGAAAGGTTAAGTTTTTTCATATTCATAAATGTTTTGTCAAACTTCATATAAACACGCACGATATCGATCGCGCGTTATTGATCTAGAAGAGAATATTGTACTTGTATCACCACCTTAAAAATTTCAATCACTTTCCGTGTTCGTTTTTCTTTTCGAATTTGCATCTCTAAAACCACAAGCTCCGTTAGATTTGAAACAAAAAATTAATTATATGGCTATGTAATAATAATAAGGCGCCTCCCCCCGCCCCTCCTCAAAGTTTTCCTCTTAAAATTAACGAAACAAAAATGTGATGTACAACAAGACTATAACGCACATTTTTCCTCAAAATTAATGGAAGCAAAGGAGCTCTGGACTGTAAATGCTTTATTTCAAATTAATTAAATTAAAAAGGTTCACCCACCATTTTCTATATTTTTCTCGAAACTAACGAAACTAAAAAATAATAAATACCCTCGAGACTGCAGTACGCCGCCGTTGCTCTCCAGACGATTGCACCACTATATCACACGCGCGATCGTATAACGTATACCGCGTAATATGACGAGCACACTGTAATCGAAACGGGAAAATCGGGAATCCCGCGCGACGTCATCCGATCTATTAAGTCTCGCGTCGCGGACTGACGATCGCTCAGCAATTGTGTGCGTTGTTTCCATACGACTCCACGTGACTCGCGGTGATCTCGAGGTATCAACATACGAAGTTACTCTCTCGTTTTTGCCTTGTTTGGGTGTTTGGCCCAAATCACCGCTTTCTTTTGTCGTTTCACTTTAACCAATAGGGTCAAATGACACGCGACTTCGCTTTTACAACATTCGTTATTTTTCAAAAAAATTGCGTGTCACACTTGGAGGAAATCACGTCGACTCTACGTGAAATTTCTTCCCGCCCGCGGACACGCGAATTTCGGCGGTAATTACGTCGCGCTTGCCATTGTTTGCCGTAATAAAGAGTCTCGATTCGAGACGAGCGACGACATTTCTCTTGTGTACAACACCGGCGGCGTTACAACGAAAGAACTTAATTGGCCGGGTATAAGTAAGCCGCGCGCGCGCGCGCGCGGCCGGCGGTCTTATCTCGCGTACAGAGGTTAATACGTACAAAGTACATACTTATGTTAATTATTCCCGGTACAAATAAGTTCGCATGTCTCTTTACTATTAAGAGTCGTAATAGCCGAGCGGCACGTAACGTCCCTGCGACTCTCCTTTCCTTTGCTCTTACCAAGAACATGTACTTTTCCCCCCGTCGTCGCGAGCGCGCGATCCCTCTCAATCCCCTTTCCCCTGCCAGCCAGCCTGCCTGCCTGCCTGCCTGCCTGCCTGCCTGCCTGCATGCCTACCCAGGCTGACTGCCTGTCTGCGTGTTTATTCTTGCTCCTCTATTTTCCATCCTCGACGTCTCCTCCGCGGTTCGACGCGGGATCCCTCTCTCTGATTTACCTACCTACCGCGATACTGTATACAGTCACGGTGGTTCGTTTACGTTGCAATTCGGTTATTTCGTCCGCATAAATATTTGACGCCATTCTGGAAGTCGCACCTACACTACACCTACGCGACGTCGAAATCAGGTATGTTGATACCGCCGTTACCGTTGCCGTTACAAAACGACGTTTAACCGGCCGCGGAGAGCGTACACGGCGGGCGGAGCCGTCAACTCGACGAATTCCCTGGGACACTGTATTTCACAATATTTACATTTTATCGTACCCCTTCGTGAACTCCGGCTCGATTCGGGTCGTTATGCAAGCCGCGAAATTGCGTAGAAATCGCGCGCACAATCGACGCGATTGTACCGTACGTAGTAGGTAGGTGGCGGTTCGTTCATCGAGGTCTCGCTCCATCGAACGCTTCGACGTCGAGACCATAAAGAGATCTTCGACAGCGGGGATAAAAAATGGAATTTCGAAATAGAAATCGAAATACCGATCACGAATTCACGGGGCGGAGGAAAGAGTCGGACGATGCACAACGAACGAGCAAGGCGATTTATCGCGTCCGCGTTACATCCGCATTTAATGTTTGCGAGCTACTTCTGATAAGGATAGCCGTCGGAGACTTCTCGCTCGAGAAATAAATCATTTTGCCCGTGTCTTTGCGGGAGATCAAAGCGAGCCTATCTCTTCGCGCTTTGTTATTCCGCGGTTAATCCGCGCGATGGTCCCCACCGGTAAGTGCACGAATACAGGATAACGACGTGTTGTCATTAAATAAAAATCAATCGCATGGTCGTGAAGGAGGCTTAACGGATTTGCCAGCGCCGCCCATGGCTTAGTAGTCCTGCGGGGAAAGTAGCCCCCCTTCTCAACTCGCGTCCGCGTACGAGCCTGCTTAATACGTTACATATTTCCCATCGACGGTTGAATTATCTCTCGAACTGGATTACCAACGCAGTCTATGTTCGCGCTAATTATCCTCCGCTACGTTTTTCCTCCGGGATCGCGGGTGAAGCGGGAAAAAAACGGGAAGGTCCTCCCGCTCGCGGGAAAGCAGCGTGCGTGAAGTCGAGACGATAAGAAGAATCCGGAAAAACGAGGGACGCGCGGTGACGTCGCGGTTGTACGAATTTATTTCCCCCCCCTCCCCCCTCCCTCTCTTTGGATCTCGAATTAACTGAGCCCGATGGAGATGGATATTTCATGCGTTTCGTTTTCTATTGCAGGCGATCATGTACGAGGGGCAGGACAAGAATCCGGAGATGTGCCGTGTCCTGTTGACGCACGAGGTCATGTGCAGGTACGTTGGACACGGAAATTGAAAATTACAAGTTCGAGGGGAATGGCGTCTCGCCCCTCGCTGCTCCCTTGCTTCGCCGCGCACGATTCCGTTCGATTCGACTTATCGCGCGTTTCGAGAACTTTTCGCCGACACTTATCGCGTAGTGCCGAGTTATTTCACACGTCGGGTCACGTTATTTGCGTTGTTCGGAAAAGTGTCCCTCGCTACAATGCAGGCAGTCACCCTTGCGGCATAACATAAACGTAACGAGGCATACGGGGACGTAGTCGTTCTCCGGGGGGGTGGCTGACTCATTGTGACCCATGGGACTTCGGCCGCGCACCACCACTAGTTTGCGCCACCTACTTCCCGAATCCCATGGGTCCCGATATTTTTTAGGCGGACTCGCAAAATCCCCGACCTCCTCCTGCTCCTCCTGAGGAGCCTGTATTCGCGTTGTACTTCGCTTCTCTTTTTGTCTTCCGCGAGAAAATAAGAATCTCGCCGCTGCGAGACTTGCTACGCGATATATACATACACAATAACACGAAACGCTCTCTATTTACAGTCGATGCTGCGACAAGAAGAGCTGCGGCAACAGAAACGAAACGCCCAGCGATCCTGTGATCATCGACCGGTGAGTTGTGTCCATCGTTACCCGACTACCATCGCGCATCGAGCAAACGCTTCGGCAATCGGCGGCGGTGGGTCGCTTAAAACGCGCGACGCGGCATTTATCTCGCCCGTGACGGCCGAATTTTACGATACCGTCGCACACACGGCTCCCCGAAATCCCCCTCCCTCCTCTGATTTGACGATGACGACGACGACAACGACGACGACGACGACGATGACGACGACGACAACGACAACGACGACAGGAATGAAGACGACGAACGTAACGACAGAGGCGCCGATTTTGTCGACAGAGAGAGAGAGAGAGAAAGAGAGAGGGGGGGGAGGAAGAGAAAGAGAGAGTGTGAGTGGAGGGGGAGAGGGGAGCAAGACGCCAACGACTCTCGTATCAGGCTGTCGCCCGCGCTATCGTCGTTTCCAACGATCTGCGAAATAAGGGTCCAGATAACTCCTTCTCGAAGGACCCGCCTATAAGATAGAGTCTCGTGTACCGTCGCGACTAGGACATTTAGGCTTGCAAAATACGTTTCCTGCGAGATGCGGCGACGGAAGGGGTAGAAGAGTACTCGAATACTCGGAGCGTACTTACACCACGTACTCCAGCAGCGCGCATGGTGCTGCTCGTCCATGGTAACATAGACTTCCCTTGTACACTCACACTCGCTCTCTCTCTCTCTCTCTCTCTCTCTCTCTCTCTCTCTCTCTCTCTCTCTCTCTCTCTCTCTCTCTCTCTCTCTCTCTCTCTCTCTCTCTCTCTCTCTCTCTTTCTCTTTCGTGTGGCGTGGCTAACGTGCGCACAGGAGAAACAGAGAGAAAGAGGGAGAGAGAGAGAGAGAGAGAGAGAGAGAGAGAGAGAGAGAGAGAGAGAGAGTGAGAGAGAGAGGAAGAGAGAGTAGCAGCGGAGTGAGCCCGGTATCTGAATAGGCTATAGAGTGTCCTGAGATAGGAACGGCAGGAAGGAAGAGGTTTCCCGCGGGACCCGAGCCGAGATAGTCTTCAGGAGGACATCTTGTGTTCAGGGGTGCTCAACCGGAGCTTCGATACACCGGCACCGGCTTCCCGAGCTTTCATCCGTATTCGAGGAGGGATATGTGTTACGCGCGCGGTGACAGGCAAAGCCCGGTAGGCTCGCGCGTAACTATTTTTCCGCGCCTCCGAGTCTCCTGCGACGTCTGCACCTGTTGGCTGGGGTTTAACCCCGATGTCGCGCGAGCCCGCGTGTCTTTCACTCGCCCCGATAACTCGAAACCGCCGCGGTGGCAAAACACGACACGACTCACGCACGTGACTGACATCTTCACTGAGAATAATCAAATATATGGATTTTAACAGAACTCACCCTTTCTCTGCGATTATCCTCCGGAGCCAATTTTATTAGAGGTATTTTTCGGGATAAACACAACAAGTGAGAAATCCTTAAAATTTCCAGATTAAACAAAGGACTTGCGGCGTCAATAGTAATATTGCCGTGATGCTTTGCGAGGGGCCGAGAAGGGGAGAGAGGGGTTGTATCGATGCATGCCAGAGATTCGGTGCGCATCGGTGGTGAGGTGAAAAAATAACAATAGTTATCGGCCTGCGAGAGAGAGAGAGAGAGAGAGAGAGAGAGAGAGAGAGAGAGAGAGAGAGAGAGAGAGAGGAATTATGCAATCTCGTAGGTTGGGCCGATCGGTGAGACGATAGAAGAATTAATCTCGAAAATGCTCGTTCGGCACACGACACGCACGCACCCGAGTAATGTCGTAACAACCGCGCCGCGTAACGTGAATGCAACCGCGATGCGGTCGCGTGTCGTGACGAACGCCACCCTCGTGTTCACTCGCTCGCCCGTTCTCCGGACACGGTGGATCAAAACGAGAGTAAAATAAATGGACAACTTCCGCAAAATTACGGGATTAAATCTCCATTACGGCTCTATTTTTACCGTTTGCTATTAGAGGCGATTCCGCGTAGTTTGCACGATGACGACGCATCGATCGCGAGCGCTCATTTCCACACGATGCGGTCATCACGCGCGAATATTTAGCTTTACGCGAACGCATTTCCGATCGGATGAGATATTTCGGAATTAAAGAAAACTCTGTCCGTTGAATAAAGTAAATAAAAATGTCCCAATGCACGTGCTTAATTCTGGACATTTTCATCGCTTTGGCCTTTAAATATAAATATCTTAATATTTAACGTAAAATATATATATATATAATATATTTTTTTTTTACGTGGTATCTATTCGGTCTTTCTCTTCGGTATGTTGGTGCTGTGTGATTGTATGCGTGGCTCACGGGGAAAATATATATATATATATATATATATATATATATATATATATATTGGGAGGCTAATAGATTTTCGGTCTCGCACAAAACCACAATGGAGAACGCGAGGGCCCGGTCGAGGGAGAAAGAGAGAGAGAGAGAGAGGGGGGGAGCGGGAGGGAGGGAGGGAGAGAGACAGAGAGTGGGCGAAGGGTATCAATGCCACTTTGATTGAGGCTGTCCTGGTCGATTGTGACATGCTCACTCAGCTGTGCAGAAAGTACAACGCGCTCCCCATCAATTCGGTATACCTGACTGAAGAAAAAACAAAGCATCCGTATTCCTAAGCGCGATTATTTTGTCATCCCTTTGCGTCACTTTCGCTGCGCGATATCCGACCGTAACTTTCGCGCGGGTATTAAAGCCAATATTGTCGCTCACGTAGCGGATTACACGCTCGTACATATGACGCGAAAACCTTGGATATTTGATGTTTCTATTGAATTCTTCGAATAATTTTTTATATTTCTTTTTAATAACGCATACATGCACTCACTCTTCCTCCTTCCATTCCTTCTCCCCCACCCTCTTTCTCTCTTTAAACATGTAATTTTGATAAACGCTATCGATATTACTATACACAAATATGTCGAGGGATGTGTACGCGAGAGTGCGTGTTTCCCCTTAAATTTAATTTCGACCGCGGAGAGCGAGACCGCGCTGCGATTCTCGAGGAAATTTTTCAAATTCGCGGATTCATAAAGATTGCAAAGATTTTAGCGGCCACCTATGCGCGAATCACGGCAGCGTTTTCATATAATCGGCCCATCGATCGATCGATATGTGACCGCATCGATCGACGACAGGCGGGATTGCGAGAACAGTCCTAGAGAAGCTGGTATTACGCCGGACTCGGAAACCAATTAACATGCATAATTAAAATGGCATTGTCGTGGCCGGGCAGCGCCACGGGCTCCCCCGCCGACTGACGGATCCCCCGGGGCTAACGGCGTTTCATAATTACGAAAATCCACCCCCTCCGGCCTCGGCCGTCGCCTCCTCCTCCGCTCACCCGTCCGTTCGCCCGAGCGCGTGTTCCGGTGTCGCCTCTCTTTCTCCAATTGCCGGTATCCGGAAGCTCTCGTCCCGAAAATAGGGGGCGGGTGGCGGCCGTGGGACGAGAGGAGGTGCGGGGGCGCGCGAAAAAAATCGGGCATCGGGTCGGTGTGCGACGAATAACGCATCCCGCCGCTGCCGCAGCCAATAACGTTCGAACAGGCCGGCCGCCAGCGCGATTGGCTAACTTTATTTCGCTCAGTGGGCAAGCCCTTAATTTCGGGGCATCGATCATAGCCCTCGCGCGTCCTCGGCGCGCTTGCAGCGCTGGTCTTTCTCCTCCTCCGGCTCCTCCACCTCCTGCGCGCCGCTTCCTCATCCTCCACCATACGTTTCGCGTACCAGCCGCGATGACCCTCAGTACCGTGACGCACCTCTCTGCCATTCCCTCCGTCAATTTGATGGATTCCATTTCGGATCCCGCGCGACGACGATCGTTTCGCTCCCTCTGTACCTATACGCGCGACCTCTCCGCCGACGGGTAGGGGGGAAGGAGGGGGGGAACGCCATGGCGAAATTTCGCGCGGTGGAAAAGGAAAAAAAATTGCGCTCCGAGGCTGGTCGGCGCCGCGATAAAAGTTAATCCGTTGGTGGCGAGCCGGACAGATTTCGGATCGCTCTAATCGCCGGAACGCCAAAACGCCGCGTTAAGCGATCAAGTGAGCGCGGAAAAAAATTCGGGGTCGAGTGAAAAATCGGCGTCGATGCTGTCGCAAAAATAAGCGAGGCGAGTTTCCCGCGAGGAAGAGAACAGGGAAATATCGGTGTGACCTGAGTGTAACGCCGAGAATTGCCAGTATAAATATCTCAACCAGAGTCCTCGTATTTAGAGCTCAAGGGATGAAAATTTTTAAAAGAAAAATCTAACCGGTCGAAATTGATAGTCACAAAGGAATCGCGATGACATTTAAATGCAACTGATACTCTCAGAAAACTGATGCTTTCAGTTTTCAGAGAGATGGCACACGTACTTTTTTATTAAACACAACTTTGGAATGCTGAAATACTTGCCGACGATGATACAAAAAGGAGAGACACGGTAATGCGAAATAATAATTTGCAAGAAGCGGCGGAGCGAGCGACAGGCGACATTCGAAACGGTCTTTTTACCGTTCCATTCACCACGACGATACTGTAGCTCGCGATGTTCCGTTATGCTCCACATAAATACCGGCTCACAATATTCTCTTCTCCGAGTCCAAGCGCGTAACAATCAATCGTTACCTTAATTGATTGCGATTGATGGAGGACGCTCGGGCGATTTGACTGACGTCACAATGACGTACGGATTGTCAATCAGTCTCGCTTGTGGCGTTAATGCATGCAAACCTGGTCGAATCGTGGCACGTTGTCTCACACCCTTGCAGCGAATCTCCATCAATATGGATTCGATATCAAGGCCGGCCAGGCCGTTTTCTATGCGCGCGCTTCCGCGCGCTGAAAAGTCTTTCTACGCGAATGTCGAAATATTTTATTCAAACCGTGATTCCCGACGTTCCTCTGTTTTATCGGTGCATTCGTCGCGTGAATTTTGTTTACAGTCAAAGTTGATATTCACTGACGAGCGTTTTGCACAAATCGCGCGCGCCGTGGAACGGTACGGAACGGAACGCCGGCGAGCCGCAAAACG